GCAGATGAATCTGTATTATCTAGATTTTGGAAATAGTGGCCTGGTACCAATTTTACTACATAAACTTTACACAAATAAAACTGACCTTAAATCTCAGTTGACAAGACTTAGATATTTCTTATTTCTTTCAGAGATATTTGTAGATTGCTACAGGGGTGGCAGAACACAGATAATGCTTCATCACAGGATAGAATTAATTATCTGAAGTAGTTTCAAAGCTGCAATTAAAAAGATCAATGGTGTTTTCTACAACCACCAGACCACTCGTTACCTTTTGCAAGCTCCGAAGACTTCTGACTCGTCTCTCTCCTGCATTGGTATAAGCCTCATTTCAAGCTGTGGTGTGGCCATCATGATCCCAGTCCTTGCCATTTCACTCCTGAGCAGCATTCTTAACCTTAGCCTTCTTAGTTTCCTTCTAGTTTACGTGGCACAGTGACGCTGGGACGCCTTTGCCTTCAACGAGGACATACCACCTAATCCTTTCAAATAGTGCCACTCCCGAGTGACCATGCTTAACCACACTGGATTGTGTATCTTGATATTCTGCATTGTTTTACTGTGTGAGTTTTGAATAACCAAGCAGACTGAAGAAAAAACTAGAGAACAGAAACCACACTTTCCCTATTTTGTATTCTATGGCACTAATAAAATTATTGGCTTGTTGATTCCTGCAGAAAGTCCTTCAAGCTCCCGGACTGGGTTGCATACTTCTGTATACAATGGTGATATCCTGTTGCTCCCCAGCTGCATGATGCATGCATTACAACTGGCTGTATTGTACCCGTCGGTTCTGATTTTGCATCCCTAACTACTAGAACTCAATGAAAACATCGCCCATGATAATCTGGCTGACAGCTGGCCCTCTGTCTTAGGGTTCTATTGCTATGAAGAGACACCATAACCACATGAACTTCATCACCATGGTGGGAAGCATGGCGGCATGCAGGCAGACATGGAGCTGGAGATGTAGCTGAGAGTTCTACATCCAGACACAGGGAACCAGAAGAGAGAGCCACTGAGTCTGGCTTTGGATTTAAAATAACCTCAAAACCCACCTACAGTGAATTCCTTCCTTCGACAAGGACACACCACCCAGTCATTTCAAATAGTGCCACTCCAGAGTGACCAAGAATTCAAATCCATGAGCCTACCAGGGCCTTTCTCATTCCAACCACTCCACCCTCTAATCTAATATAAATACCTAATCTAGATATTTTGTCTTAGTCAAAGTGTTGACACATAGAATGTGTCCAAGAAATAGTTTAAATTGATTAAATAATTTGAAAGGTGTTCGGTCGACATCAGAGCGTTAAGGAGACGTGGGAAGGTGCAGCCAGCAGAACCTGCAGTGTCACAGCATCCTGGCTGTTTGAGCATGTGCTGTCACAGATCTATCATAAACAGTAGAAGGAATCAGAAAGATAGCATTTGATTGCATATGCCACGACATTTAAGGTTATTTTTCAGATGTGCACAAGACGACACTTTTGACATCTACCTGTCCCCTCACCCCCAAGTCCCTGCCTCAGGGAGGGCCTCTGGATTGGATGTCATTAAGCATGGTTTGAAAAGAGTCTGTGTTCTAATATATCTACCTGGTTCTAAACATCTGTTGCTGCCTAACAAGTGCCACATTCATTTAAACGGTACTGGTGCACGGAGGTAAACAGAGCTCTGGCAGGCTTTCCATAAGGGAAACTGTGTTTGCTTCCTTCATTAATTACTAATGGAGCATTAAGACATGAGTTCCCTCTGAGCCAAAGTTAGATAATTCCTGGCGCTTAATTCGAGGGTGCTTTCAAAAGCAGAGACATGTATTGACACAGAGAGCAGAGAACAGGCCCCATAACAAGCACAGTGGTGACTACAGTGCCAGGATTATACTAAGCTTCGGGGAGATCAATACCAAATGCACTGATCCATTGGTTTAACCTTTGCCGTTTGGAGGTTAATTTGGTAAAACAAGCATGTATCCCCAAAGTGCTTCTGAAAGTAGCTACCGCTGTGTGACTTGGACAGCAGTTCGTGAAGATCTAGTTAAAAAATAAAGGCAGACCAAATTAGTGGAATGTGAGTAGCAAGCTAAAAACGGAATTAAAAACCTGAGGGTTACTTACGAATTTTAAGCCAATTACTAAGAGAATTAAAATGAAGAACTTATTCCCCTGGACACATCAACTAACGTAGCACCAGAATGATAACATGAAAATAGTAAGCAGTAAGAGACTGACTGATACTTATTAGTCACTGTAGATTTTTGACATGTACCACAGTATTTAAATATAGATTATAATAAATACGAATGATATGATAATGTTAATATTGTTGAATATTGGCTACATGTACTTATGAGGTACATAAATTAGCTCAGATTCCGAGTTCTGCCTGCCTCTGCCTCCCAAGTGCTGGGATGAAAGGCATGCATCACTTGCACCCAGAAAAAGGTTTTTAATCTTTATTTTTATTTTATATATATGGATATTTTACCTGTATGTAATATGCATGCGCTGCCTGTGGAGGCTAGAAGAGGGTTTTGGATGTCCTAGGACTGGAGTTATAGACGATTGTGAGCCATTGTGTAGGTGCTGATAATCAAACCAGAGTCTTCTAGAAGACCTACCAGTGCTCTTAGCCACTGAGCCATTTCTCCAGCCCGGACCATTTTTTTTTTCAAATATATAATTTGTAGACACCTCCTCTAGTTGCGGAGCAATGGAATACAATAGAAGCACGCAGTAACCCAGCATGTTGATGGTGTCTGGATTTGAGGGCTAATGCTACTAAGGCTGGTAAGCTTGTTTCTTTAGAGTTAAACTTTAATCAAACATAAGAGAAACGGTGATGGAAAAACACCTCAGAAAGACACAAAGGTCGACCCATGATGATCCTACTTGGATATGTTTACAACCCCAAAGAAAACTATGTGCCTATCCAAAGAGGAGCAAGTTTGGCCAAAAAGACTAAACCAGTGTATTCACTGAGGACAAGGGAGCTTTGCTGGACTTGGGTAAGCGGCCAGAAGGGGAGGTCATGCTTCCCATGGACCCAGAAGGATAAGGCTGTATTCCCCAGATTTGGCTGTAGTTTCGTGCACAACAGGCTATCTTTAATTTAGAGTAGATCTTCCCTATGGGCATCTGTAAGCACCCTGTACATAGATTAAAGTAGCTATGAGGGATAAGCACCAGTTTCCCTACAGAGTTGAAAAACAGGAAGTCTTCCTAAGTCTGGGAACAGAAAGCCTCTTGACCTTGTAAAATGTCAGCGGTGCAACACGAAGTAGTCCACAGCCAAAAGGCAGCTGTAGGTACAGTAAAACAAGCTATTCACAGGAGCTTCTTCTGATTCCCTGTTGTGTCTGTGTACGGATGAGGCACTTACAAAGCTGTTGCTCACATGAAAGAAATGGGGCCAGACAGTTATCGGACAAATGAGATGGGATAATAGGTTATCTATTTTAAACACGCTAAACTAAATAATGGATTAAAGAGTTAATTTTTAAAATAGACTAAAAAAATTATATCCAAACCTTGGTCATAACCCTGAAGAGGCAATGATTTTACAAGGCTAGACAGATAAAGAGAAATCGCAAAGGAGAGATAAAAACAACTCGGATTGTGCAGATATTAAAAACTGATGCTAGCAAAATACTATAATAGCAACCAGAATTCAAAGTCAGACAATGTGGGGAAATGTTGCAGAGAATGTGACAGACAAAGACCTGATATCTTTATTAAGTGAAATGTTTGTACAAATTGATAAGAGAAACATTGCAATTCTGGAAGCATAAACAGACAAGCCATAAAAAGATAAAAAAAGAAAGAAAACCAGTAAATAAACATGTGGAAGATATTTAATTGATTTGGCAGTCAAATCCATTTAAATGAGCAAGAAAAAAATATGAAATTTTATTTTTATGAAACCCAGTGCCAGTGAGGCTGTTGTAAAAGTGGAACTCTCATGTTTTGGTGATATTTAAATTAGTACCTCCTTTTTGGAAAATATTTGGCAGTACAATATTATGAGCAGTAAAAAAAGTTTATAGCCTTTGACCTGGTATGTTGACTTACTTCTGGGAACTTATCCTGAAGAAAATCAATCCAAAATATGGAAAAAATTAAGGGCCTAAAATAAATTGGGAAATACTAAGTGTCTCACATTAGAAGACAAGTTAGCATGTTGTGGTTCACTGATTGGATCTGAAACAACCTTGTCCTTCATAAGTGCAGAGATGGAACACAGGCAGACAAATGGAAAGATTCCTGTGATTTTAATATGCAATAGAATTATTACATATCTTAACATGTTTCTTCCATTTATGTATTTGTATGTGTGAGTGTGTGTGCACATGAGTGCAGGAGCCCACTAATGCCACAAGGGGGTGTCAGATTTCTAGAGCTGGAGTTATAGGTAGTTGCCACTGCTGACTGCGGAGAACTAGACTCAGGTCCCTCTGGAAGGGCAACAAGCTCTCTTAACCACTGAGCAACTGCTCCAGCACCTATGAAGATTTATGCAGAAAAATAAACCCAGAAGAGAACAGTTGGAGCCATCAGTTTTGAGTAGTTATGATGGGGTGGCAGGATGTTAATGAGTTTTGTCTTTAGTCTTCCACTCATTGTGTTCTTTCCATCTATCAGACCTCTGTGACAATTGCCTCCTTGTGTCCCCTCATTTCCACCCAAGTCCATACCCAACTTCCAGAGCCCTGCTCACCTATGTGAGCATCCAGAAACCCAGCCATCTCACCAGCCAGATGGAACTGTCTCTTCTCCAAGCGCCATAATGCCGTCTTAGCGTTTCTGTGCGTGCCATGCACAATTTACATGAGGAAATGATTCATGTATACTGTGTGTCCATTTCTACAGCTAAATTCCAAACCTCAAGAAGGCAGGAACCATTTAAGATGTTCCCCTTGCTCACTAAGCACAGTGCTTCCTCTGTATAGTCTGCCTGCCGAGTAGATGCCAATTTAAAGATGTTTCCTCCCACTGCAGGGGGAGCTCATGAGGGTCTTCAGCACCTGGGTCCCTTTGGCAACATCCCCAACATAGTGGCAGAGCTGACTGGTGACAACATTCCGAAGGACTTCAGTGAGGATCAAGGCTACCCAGACCCTCCAAATCCCTGTCCTCTGGGGAAAACTGGTAAGGAACACAGCCTTGGGTTATAATGGAAGGTAATTGAAAGTTCTCTCCCGAGCTACAGTGTGGGCTTTCTCTGAAGAATGTTCCTCTTCTTGTTTAGGGTGAGGTCTCTCTCTTCCCTGAAGCACAGAGCTCCCATGTTGGGTGGAACAACATGGGAGTTGGATATGATGGAACCACTGTGGGGAGGCTGGCCCCGGATGACAGGAAATTCTGAGTCATTGGCTGGCATCAAACCCATCAGCCACCTTTGACTTGCTTGTAGGGTTTTGGATGGGTAAGAAGAAAGATCAGCTCAAAGTGTGGGGGTCTGGAAAAGGTGATAAGACAGAATGTAGCACAGAGGTTCTTAAAGTGGGTTCTGGGACCACCAGCAGCAGCAAAACCTGAGAGCATAAACATAAACTAGAAATGCAGCTGCTTGGTTGAATCAGACAAAATGAACCTGGGCCCTAGCCATCTGTGTAGTGGCCTGCCTTGGAGCACACCCAGGTTCAAAATCTACTGTTAGAAGACAAAGGAAGGAGGCCCAGGGTGTGAGCCAAGAGATCTCAGTTCTAGCTTTAACCACACAGCATGATGTCACTTCTTTAAGCTTGTTTCCTCATCTATAAAAAAAAAAATATGACACACACAATGCCTTCAAGAATGTAGAGTGCTGTTTCCAGATTATTCTGAGCAAGATCGGTGTGACATAGTGCCCTGTGCATGCACTTAGGACACTGAGAGGAGAGGAACCAGAGACAGCAGACAGAGGCAGATGAGGTGCTAGTGCTGGACTCTCCCTCTGAATCTGCTTTTGTTTTTGATAACCACTTGCTCAATTTAGCAACACTTGACTAGGACCAACACCACCTTACTTAGAATCACGCATGATACAGCACGGCACAGTTGAACTATGGAACCTCGACTTGCCCCTGCCCTGCCATGCTCCCATCTGAATCATCACCCATCTCCCTGTACAGATTAGTGCAGTTTCTAGAATCTAACATGGATACATGGCTAGAAGGTGACTTCAAGGGCACATTTTCATCTCCCCAAATCTCAGCCTCGTCCCCGGCAAGGCTTCATTTCTACAGCTCAATCTCAGCCCACTCAAAGGTACTTAGAAATAGTTACCAAAAGGTTGCAAAGCCACTGCGTTCAGACCGCTCTGCTTGGCATCCCTTTCCCACATATAAGAGAGAGAGAGAGAGAGAGAGAGAGAGAACCATCTAAAATAATTTTTAAAAAAGATAATGTTCCACTCTGTGTGACTGGTCCTTCTCCCATGGCAAGTGTGAACAGGTGACTCATTCATATTTAAGACAAAACTTAAATATTTGTTCCAAAGTTTCAGTGAAGGAGTTTTATGTTTTCTGCCTCCCCACCCAAATTTATATGTTAACATACAAATGATTTTAAGGACTAACTTCACTTACATGAATCTCTTCAAAGGTTATCCATCAGGACTCTCCACTAATGTAAGAACATACATCATTATACTTAATATAAGTAAATGTTAAGGATTATTAGGTTTTTTTTAAATAGATAACTATAAGTTCACAAAAGAAAAAGAAATAGCTCAGTGAGAAGCGGGGAGTCACACTGGGAATTGTTTGGAAGACTAATAGCTTTCACACTAGTCCCCTGGTGCCCAGGGCTGCAACACTGCATGTCTAAAGACTTCAGATCAGTCCTACGAGCTAGACAACCTGGCTAATTGCAAATAGATCTCCTCTCCTTATTGACTTTGACAAGTCATTATCCCTTTGTAACACACAGCATCAAGACCTTTGAAATGGGGCCTTCTTTCCTACCCTGACCTTGCACAAAATTCCACAGCCTTTCTTTCCCTCTCTCTGCTTCTCCACCTCATGCTATGATGCTGGGACTTGAACGCAGGCTTTCCCAAATGATAACCAGGTACTCAGCCACTGACATGCATCTCCTACCCCTAGTTCTCCCCTTTTAAAGGTGTTGTCTAAAAGACATTGGGAACAGGAAGTTTTGAAAACTCACTTTCAGGGCGATACCTAGTGATCATATAGGTAAGTAAACAGAATTAGAGAAGTCAGGTTAACTTTAAAAAGCTGAACCTATAGATCCCACATGCACTGGGATTTGCTCCTTAGCCTTTGTCTTGTCTCACTCTAAAACTTAAGCCACTGATGGTATAATAAACAGCACAAGGACCTGACGAAGGCACTGGAGTGGTTCCTGAAGATGTCATCCAAGAGAAACAGAGGGGCTCCTGTGGAATGGAAACATATCCCTGAAGGAGACACTTGGCATGGAAGCAAATGAGACCTTCCAGAGCAGTGGTTCTCGGCTTCTGTGTGTGGCTGTTTACTACAGTTCTTCATGTTGTGGTAGCCCCAACCATAAACTTACTTTTGTTGCTACTTCATAACTGCAAGTTTGCTGCTGTCATGAATTGTAATGAAATACCTGTGTTTTCCAATGGTCTTAGGTTACCCCTGTGAAAGGGGCATCTGAACCCCAAAGGGGTTGTGTCCTACAGGTTGAGAGATCTTGTTTTAGTGGTTCTTCACTGTAGACACTTGTTTTTCATTTACCTGAACCTATCACGGGAAGGTAAGGAAATGATAGTGGTAGGTAGTTCTGCTATCTTGACTCTTGAGGCCCCTTATTACCCTTACTGGCAGCATGAATACAGGCAGATTGTGTAGGGCTAGGGAGAGTGAATCATCCTAAGGTTTCTGGGATAGGCCGAGAAATGGAATATATCACTTCTGCCTGCGTTATATTGGCTTAGGCACACAACTCCACACTATTGCAAAGAAAGGCTGGAAAATTAGCCTTGCTGTATGCCAAGGAGAAAAGGGAAGTGGGTTTGGAGAGCAGCCAACAAGTCTTTGCTCCCGGAACATCCCATCTACCAGGGGGATTGGATCCCAGAGAGAACGTGACTTGGGGTGTCTGATATGAACAGACAATGACCTTTTTGTGTCTAGATGGTTTTGATAAATTAACTTTTAGAGTAACAACAGATGCCTTGACCATTTCTCAAAAACCTCTGTCTACAGCGGATGATGGATGTCTAGAAAACGCCCCTGACACTGCAGAGTTCAGTCGAGAATTCCAGTTAAACCAGCACCTTTTTGATCCAGAACATGACTACCCAGGTTTGGGCAAGTGGGTAAGTCCATTTTCAGTGGCTGGTAGACTGTTCACTAAAATCTCTTGGAGTTAGTAGTGTCAGAGATAAACAATGCATGGAGGGCAGGAACAACAATCGTTTAGGCGTTGATTCCGTGGAAGTCTCTGGCTCAGGGGAACACTATGCAATTATTATTCCAGACCACACTGGTGTGTCTATAGAGCAGTATACTGGTTCTATGGAAAGAGACAGCAATCCAGACCGTACACTTTCCAGAGGTATCAGCTCTGCCCCCCACCCCCCCACAGCCCAAGTCACAACATTCTCACGTCCCACCAGCGCTTCGTGCCACACAGCAGGACTCAATGAAAGGGAAAAGACTCTTTCATAAGAAAAGATACTGAGAAATGTGTAAAGTTGATCCCTAATCTAAGGGAGATAGATGATCTGTGCATATCTCTGCAGAATCAAGGAAATAAAGACATCCAGACTTGGAAACAGACACATGTAAGTCTGCTTTGTGGAAAGAGAGACAATCTCCAGCTGCATGGCAGGGAGCTCGCCGTTGGTCGCATGCAACTATGGGTAGCTGTCAAGGAAGGGTGTTGTTTTTATAAGCACTTGGAAAGAGAAATCACAGCCACTTGGCACCGGTGTGATTAAAAACAAATTTTGTCGATCTGCTCCTATTATTCCATTGCCAGCATGCTGCATTTGTGTGCCAGCTTAATGAGGGAAATGAAGTGGGCATGGTGCACTTGGGCTTCATTGAAGTATTTGACAAGATCTTTTATGATCTCCCATTGGGAGAGCAGAAGAGACACGGCCAAGTCAAGAGAATATCACCAACAGACAGCTTGTTCGAGAACCTGTGTCAGGGGCGGAGGGAGATGGTAGAGGCTACCCTGTGTCTGAGGGCTGAGCCACTCCACATTTGCAGCAGCATTTATAATAAAAATACGGATCACGTGCTTCTCAGATTCTCAGCAGATGACACAAAGTTGGAAGGGAGAACTTTGGATGACAGAGTTGGGCTTCAAGAAGATCCCAACAGGCTACAACAATGAGCCAAGGAAGATTAAAATTGAATGGGAATATGTCTAGGTGCCTGTGGTCAGGTCTGTGTGATCCAGTGCTGAAGCCATGTGAGAAAAATGGGGAAATTGCTTCACATATGAAAGTGGGTGGTCAATGTATCTGGGGAACGAGTGAATGAGGTGTGTCCACTCCCGAGACACTCCAGGTTGCCTAAGCCCCTAGGACCTCATCAGTTCCTTCTCAGGTCAGTGCTAACTGCGGCTCTGGTAATTACCTTACAATACACACTGACACCTTGAAGCTAAACCTTCTCCTTCCTTCAGCACTATTTTGGAGAAGAAATTTATCCTCATTAAGAATCCCTTTTCTAGCATCTTTCTTCATTTTTACATTGAGTCAGCTGAATTCCCTCTGCCTTTAAAATACATTTCCAAATTAAGGCAGGAAAGCAACTCTAGTTAACCTCTCACCTCCAATTTGCATTATTCCCCTCTTCCTCTTCTTTTTTCTCTCTCTCACTCTCATCACTCTCACTCTCTTCTCCACATATATAGTTCTGTTAGAGAAAATTATTTTGTAGAACTATTTTTAAGCCTTCTTCTACTGGCACAGTTTAAACATAAACTGAAAAAAATCTTGCGTATTATGAAAATCTCTTAGAAAATGTAAGAGATTCAATGGACTAGTAAGAGATAAAATAGAGAGACTGAAGACAGAAAGAAAATGGAGAAATTAATAAATCAATCCCACTTACATTGATTATAAAAATAGTGATGAAGATTAAGTTGTTACTTCAAAGGGAGAAAACTAAATAGAATGGTTATATCGAGCAGATGGATGGATGGATAGATAGATAGATAGAGGCAAAGGCAGACAGGGAGAGAGGGATGGAAAGACAGAGAGACAAAGTCTACATGAAAGTTTATGAATATAAATTCTTCCTGTGGGGAGTTTTAAAAAGAGAAAAGATGAGATGCATTATGCATTCACGTGCCAGCTTGAAGCAGTAAGGAGATGGAAAGGAAAGAGCAGATAATTAAGGGGAGTGCTGTGAAGGGCCCCACAATAGATGGGTAAGGTATTGCCAAGCAGTGGCAAGGACCAGATTCAGAGAGGAGCAAACAGGCTCTGAGCTCACTTTGTCTCAGATGCTATGCAAGGTGCTCAGCCTCCAGTATTCATCAGGAAGTGGTTCTGGGCTTTCAGTGGGTGTACAGTCTTGAAGAAGATTGAAATGAAAGGCATGAAGGTAAAATTAGTCCAATTTTGCACTGATACCCTGCCCATTCTTGCAGCACAGTCAGGACTGAGTCCTATTGCTAGGTAATTTGGGAACTAATGGCAGAGGAAGATGTGAGGCTGGTGGGGCTGATTGTTACACAGCCACAGGGGATGCTGAAGCATTAGGGAGATGCAATACTGAAGTCTTAAGGAAGGGGGCAAAGCTAAGTAGAAGGCTAGGCCTGAGAACAAGAAAGGCAATCGAGGAAATGTCTGAGCATAGGCAGAGCCCATCTGGTGTTGTGATGGGGTAGAAGAGATGGTAACTTCTCTTTCCAGCATTGTGTTTGTATGTCTGTTAGAGGCAGGGTCTGTCTTCGTAGCCCTGCCTGTCCTGAGAGTCACTCTGTTCACCAGGCTAGCTTCCATCTCAACTCACAGAGCTCCACCTGCCTCTGCCTCAGCGTGCTGGGATTAAAGGTATGCAGTGCTACACCATCTTCCTCAGAAGCTCTCTCTCACCAAATCCCACACACATCCCCTGTTATTCCTTCCCGCTCCCTTCTTGGAACTCTGCCTTGTGCTTCTCTTGGTCACCCGGATTCCATGTCCACATTAGAGCCAAAGACTAGAATTTAAGAGCAAGTACAAAAAGTGCTATCACAGATCAATGGCAAAGGACTGACATTTATGCTTCTTATCAGCTCTAATGATGTGTTTGTTTAAACGTCAGTTTCCTTGTTTATTTTCTCATTACCACCTAGCAATAAAACTCTGCTTGCTTGATCTTCGCGTGGAAGTGTGAACTGAGTGTCTATTGCTTTTTTAAGTGGGGGTCCACAAAGCAGCCTGGGTGTTTGTTTAGAAGGATAGTCTCAAGCTTGTCTGCAGCTCAACTATCCTTTCAACTTGAAAAACAGTCATCTCTCAAATAAACTGCACACAAGTACTCTTGCTTCCTTCCTTGGCAGGACTGCTTCCCTGTTTTTTATATTATCTGGAGCAGAGTTCATGTTTAGCAATGATTCCTATATTACAAATATCAGTGTCTGTCTTGTTTCCTGAAACACTCTTTTCTTGTTACTACACAAAACGATATTTATTAAATAGACAACACATGACTTCTAGGCCCTGTGGTGGGTAATTACTAATAATTGCTAAAATAATAGGAAATTGAAATATTTATGGAGCTTATGCTACACACCAGACTCTGTGCTAATATTTTATCTCAATCATCTCCTTCAGGCTGCCCATCCTCCTCGCTCTTACTCTATAGAGGAAAAGATGCAAGCACGGGGATCTGAGTAGCCTGCTCAGCAACAAGAGCTTGTGATTGCAGAGCTGAGAACTGAACTCCATCTTTACAAACACAGTAATGATTCATCCCTCATAATGTGGCCTTTGGGGTCCTATCCTAGGACTGGAAACCTTCCCGACAGTGTATATATCTTAACTATATAGTCCTGAGGGTCTATGACCAAAGGCTGATGTAAGCTTCTCCCCATTCACTTAAAATCCCCAAGGCCTATGGCCAAAGATCTGATGTCAGCACTTCCCCTTAACATACTTCCTGCTGAGTGTCCATCACTGTGTAAAACAACAAATGTTTTCTCTTTCCCGGTGCTTGGTACAGCTTTCGTCTATATTTGACCAGAGCTTTAGCTGAGCCATAGGAGACAGGGGGAGTGTGATCCCTCTCTGGCTTTGTTTATCTTGCAGGACCATGCCATGTTTGAATATTGGAGTACTTTCCAGTTCTGGTTTGTCTTGAGTTTCCATGCCAATAGACTTGAGCCACGTATCTTATTTCTTCTTCTACTCAACACATAATAAGTTGTACATACTTAGGGAGTAGAGCGTGTCATGTCAGTACATGTACCCAATTATTAGATCTGGGTGACTGGCATATTCATAACCTCAGACTGTGCTCATTTCTTTAAAAAAAAATTCTTTTGCTGTTTTATTTTCTGGCTATGGGTGCTATGTTCCCATATATGTCTATGCTTCGTACTTGTACAGTATGCACAGAGGCCAGAAGGGACCCGATTCCTTGGAACTGGAGTTAGAGGGGGCTGTAAGCTGCCATAAGGGCGCTGGAAACGGAGCACGGGTCTTCTGGAGGATCAGCCAGTGGTAGTATCTGTGAGCCACCTCTGCAGCACCTCTTGGTTCTTTTCTGTATGTTGAAAATGTTCAGAGTATTCCTCACTGTTCTGAAACATACAGTAAGTGTTTAAATGCTTGTTCTTTTGTGCCAAAGAGCACTCGGAGTTATTCCTCCTTTACCTGCATGCACTCCCGGGTTATCACCGTGTTCCCTCCATCTCCTTCACCATCCCCGGCTCTGTTAGTCGCTATTCTTCTCTCTGTGTCCAAGAGATCAACGTTTTAGGCTTCTTCGTAGTCATGATATTTATGTATATCCTTGGCACCTTACATCAAGACATCAAGGGAGTACATGGTGTCAGGTTGTCCCCTGTTCGGGGTAATTTCATTCCCTCTTGTAAAGTGCTATCCGTGTTTCTCTGGCATTAAGTTATCATTTTCCATTTGAAATTAATTGTTAACTTGTGGGAAACTACTTTGAGAGCATAAACACTCTGACTTCCATGAAGATGTTAACCCGTATGTTTTTCACTCATTGATGGGATTTACTGGACTCAGCTGAAACCACCATAAATGCAGAATGACCAGTTTCTTGCTCTCTTGTCCTTTTCCCACTTGGTAATTTGCATCTCACTCTCATAGAGAGCTTCTGTTACTTCCTTCCTTGTTTACAAACATGCTTGTTTATTTGGCACTTCTAGAGATTCATTGCTATTAATCTGCTGTTCAAAATATCCTGCATTTTGGCCAGCAGGAATTTCTTCCAGCTGGCTTTTCCTTCCTTTGGAACAACTCTAGCACTTGTTTGAACACATCCTTCCTTTCTGGCCCAATCAGATATTTAGCACCATTAATTCTTGTACTTTCTATAGCCTAGTCCTAGGATCAGACAGTTCTCCAAGATGTCCATCCCCCAGGGCTCTTTAGAAATGAAAATAAGTTGTCCAAAATCTTGATAGTATAATGTAAAGCCCTTAAATGAAGTTAAACCAGCTGTTCTCCTGTAACTTAGGCCACTCCTTCCCAAGGAACTAACAACTCGGTGTCAGAGGAGGTGGCTGATTTATTTTCATTCATTTCATGTACTCCTTTCATTCACATTACACCTGCCAACTCCCGCCACCAAATCCACGCTGGCACAGAGCTAACGGAGAAAGCCCAGCTACATCCACCACGGAGTGTGTGTGTGTGTGTGTGTGGGGGGAACATGAACATACTGGTTCTGAGCTCAGCTCTCCAGAAATGCAGGGACCATCTTTGAGAGTAAGACTTCCAGATCTTGCATACTTCTGATTATAATTTCCCCCCAGGATCCTCTAAAGGGGATTGACATGTGGCTGCCTTCATCTCATTTGCAGCTTGCTGGATCTGTGCCAGGACAGATGGGCACTGGGCCCTACTGCACCAGCGTACAAGCCCCACTGTCTCCCCTCAAGTTCAGACAGCTGGAGAAAGTGATGTATCTGAGAAGTCACTATCCTCACTTTTTTACCCCAACCCCCTTCCCAGCTCTGGCATGAGCACCCGGAACATTCTATGTGCATTAGAGTTGTTTACATTCAGACACTGAGGTTGAGACCAAGTGTAATATTCTCATTCCTGAAGGGAACGGCCAGCAGGCCTGCCTTTTCTCCCTCCCGATACTTATTTGACCCAATCTCCAAGTGAGCCAGAGACAGGGGCTCTGGCCAGTGCCTGTGTTTCTAGCAAATGGAAGAGCTTCTCCTGGCACACACCACACCCCTGGATATTTGAGGTTGGGCAAAACTCTTCATTGTAAACTGTAAGTGGTAGGTTTTAATGAACAAGAAAACAATGAAGCACATTCTTGGCATTTGTCATTTTCACTTTCAAATCTACCATTTAAATATTTGTTAATAACCAGACAGCTCAGAAGATACAAATGCTGTATAAACTTGCTCCTCACCAGAACTCTGTCAGCTCGTTTTTCTAGAAGTCAGTGTTAGGGTTTTGTAGTTACAGCAAGATGAATCATCTCTTTAATGCATTATTTTCCTTATGATTCGAAAATCAAATAAATAAAACAACACAAGGAAAACCCGCAAATCCCTTTCTCTGGTTCCATATTCAGGTTAAGCATTCTGTCTTTTATAATCTCAACTGGAGAGAAATGTGTTGAGCATGTGTCTGATATTCTAGAGCTCATTTAAATCCACTGTGTGTTGGAAACACAGCAGTATGTGGAAACACTTATACAAACTGTGGTAGCAGAACATCACCCCCCACCCCAACCCTGACACACACACACACACACACACACACACAATATAACTTTGCTTTCTGCCAAGAATTTTTTTTTGGCAGTTTTTAAAAGGTTCACTCTATTAAAAATGTTATAGACCAAATGGTTCTGTGATTGGCTTGATGGGACCACTAACTTGAGCCGTGGGAGGGACACTGCTGCAGAAGTCAACAGCTCGTTTATTTACCCGGAGGTTGTTGTTAATGTTTGGACACTGCTCCAGAGAACAGTCGTATGTGTCGTTCATAAAAAGGTTATTTATTTCAAACAAAGGCCGTTCAAAGTGCAGAGATGGGCTTCCTGCACCCTTGCAGTCTGACATGCCATCTCCCCCTGTTTATGAGATTGTTGGTGACACTGTGCAATGCAGAAGACTCTCTGAAGAGCAATGCAGTCCCCAGCTTTTCCCTTGTGGTCTATCATTCTGACACAGCGTTCCTTTCATGTAGCTTTGTTTCCAAAATATGTGTATGCAAATATCCAGGGGACACCCCAAGTGTCGCTTTAAAGTAGACAGTTTCCAAATGCAACCCAGACTTCTTCACTTGTGTTTTCTTTTCTCTCCACTCTAGAACAAGAAACTCCTCTATGAGAAGATGAAGGGAGGACAGACTCGGAAGAAGAGGGTAGGTCACACGGGGATCTGGGCGTTGCTGGGATGTCTCATGTTTCTGAGATGGGCAGTTGGGACATTTAGTTTTGAGGAAGTGGCAGAATCTTTTTTTTTTGTGATGCAATTCCAAAGAGTAGAACACAGGTCCTGTATAGCAAGGGCCACAAGAAAAATCATGGAACACTCATTACTTCCCTTCAGGCCAGCGGTCATGAAAGGTAGGTTCAATAGTAGGCACAACCTCCTATGCATGCTGGGGAGAAGTGTGGAGGGAAGCTGTGAAGGCATAACTTTCCTCAAATACTCTGTAAGCCATTGGAGGAAATGTCTCACACTTCTGTATCCATTATGTAAATCATAAGACAGAGAGCAGGAGGTGTGAAAGTGTTATCATGTGGGCCATACTTTTTAATTTCTTTTTTATCTTTCTTATCGACCTAGCCAGGTTGGTGTAACATGCAGTCCACCTATTTCATTTGCTGGCTGCCGAGTTGAGTGCAGGCTGAGTTTGCTCTCCTTGGAGGATTGTCCAAGGTGGGCCTTTGGTCTCTGTTTTGCATTTTGCTACTCCTCATATGGTGTTGCCTGGTACAAATCTGAATGTCAAAGTCACACTGGGTTTTCAGTACATGAGACTTGGCAGTGATCAATGTGCGGACAAGAGGGGTAAAAACCTTGCTGTTACTCAGTAAAGTACTACCATAGCTATTATTTTAGTTAAAGTATATACACCAACCTGTATACCCAAGGCCACTGACCATTTGTTTGCAATAGCGAGTACCATGGATCTTGGGGAAAATTGGGAATCTAGTCAGTGGCAGTTGTAGCCAATCTGATGAGCTTGGCCAAGTTTAATCAGAAAATACTTTAACAAATATGGGGTTTGCCATAAGGTCCTTGGGCTCCCTGACAAACACAGAAGACTCATAGGCAATTTCCTATGCAAGAAGCAGAAAGCTGTTACATCTGGAAGCAGATCTTCTTCGGGAGAATGAACGGGGTTATTAGGGTTTTTCTTGGTGATTACAGCTTCCAGTTGCAGATGGCAACAGGAAGGGTGTAATGTGCTCTTGAGAGAACATCAAGAAATTCTATTCTGGGAGTTCAGAATATATATAATTAACCAGGAAGATGACTTGAATCTCTCCTATGGTTGCAACAAGGACATTTCCAAATAAGACCAATGACAGACCCGAAAAGAATAACTGAGCACACAGCTTTAATTGCTTCTACTTGCTGGCCCACGACACCTTCTGCCCTGATTCTGAGGAACTTAGGTTTACCCTGGATCACATTTCCATGAGATTAGTGATTGTCAAAACTCAAAATTCTAGCCAAGTTATATGTTACAAAGTATTTTTCCTTTGGCCTCAACTTCTTCCACAGAGACAAGGCTTAGAATTTAGGAAAATAAGGGTCACTTGTGTCCCTGGGGTATCAGGTTCTTTCTATTCTCAGACATCTATAAAGCCCATTCTCATTTCTTTAGCCCTGGGCCCTTCTAGACAGATGGGCAAACAAAAGTTTCCTTCCATATTACCATACTACAGCTGCTGTTCCCATCTTGGTTGAAGACCTTAACTGCTCTGTCTGCAGCATGAGCTGATCTACAGAAATGGTAGCTCACCTATTTGAAAAATTAAGGTTTACTCCAGTGAAGCTCACCATCTCCTAAGGGTTTGAAGAGGGCAGCAAGCAAGGATCTGTCCCAAGTTGTTCTTCAGTTGTCAGGTGTCAATAATGATCTCTCTATAACCTACTCATGAGTGACCATACATATATAAGTATTGTGAGTTCTTCAGAACACACTTAAAAACAAAACGTTTGATTCAATAATTGAACAATAATTCAAAACTGTCAAGGCTTGGCTTCAGTGTCTCCCTCTTCCTGGTTGCTCCAACCTTTGACATTTTCTGGGTCTAGACAGCCCATCCTGCACCATGGACGTTTCTTAGCAAGAGGGCTGATGCCTAAAGTTACAACCAAAGCCCCATGTAATTTTCTGTGACTTTTATACTCACTCCAGACCATTTGAATTCCTAGCTGCTTCACAAATAAAAGCTCAATGTGCCATGAGGTGATTTTGAATAAAATTTAACTCTAAGGCTGTATCTTGTTACCATTTAAAATACACTAATTCTCTTAAACAGTTTATCAATTACTTAGCCTCACAGCTGACAAATTTGAATATTCTCTTTTAACATATTAGAATTTTAAGAATACTGTTGCAAAACAGCAAAGCGGTTATGGTATTGAATGTACTTTTGCCAAGCACATTAAGTTTGCCTACTCACAGGTTCTTATATGATTTCTTAGGGTGAGCCAGTCAGACCACACCAGTTGACAATTTCCATCAGAAAGCACTATTTTGAACACTGAGGATGAATATCTTTCTGTGACATTCCTCTTTTAAAGTATATAAAGACACACCTTTCGCTTTGCAATCTTCATCTTGTTTGTGAGTCATCTTTGCAGAGTTGCTGGGGTCCTTACTGATTCATGTTTTACACAACAGAATGTGAAAAACATTGACAAGGGTTATTCCTTGTCTTTTGGAACATTCCCTGCTCACCTTTCAAGAGAGCCGTGTGGTCCAGGCCCACATGAAAACTGTGTGTGTTCGCTCATAAGGGCTTAGCATTGCAACAGGCTTGCTCCTCGTTTGTAACCTCATCCTATTTCTTACATTTCTGTTCCATTGCTGGAAGGCAACATCAATAAACAAATACCTTCCAAAACGTTTGACATTTTTCCTGCTCACTGAAGACTGTGCTGCAGAGCTCCAGTTACCAGTTCAAATCCAAACCTCAAAAAAAAAAAATTGATATTATTAGAGAAGCAGTGGAAACTCTTTGACTCATTCAGAACATCAACAGATGAAAGAGATTCCAGAATATGAAGGCCTGAATAAAAACTGAAGACCATTTCTGGATGGCTTTGTGCTTTAATTCAGCTTTTGAGTTTGACTTGGGGGAGGTTAGAAGTGATTGCTAGAGCCATTAATGAACTCTGTTTAGCAGAATCCTTGAATACAAGACTTGCAACCATGGGGTGACCTTAGCGTAGTCTTCAGACACTAATTCCTACATGCCCTGTTTGTCTTTTCTTTTGAACATGCTTCCTGTAGAATAATTAATGCATTCGGGAGTCTCACTCCCACTTAAATAGGACCATAGAATAAACATTTTCTTTCACGTGACACTTGGTAACTAAGTTAGTAGTAAGATTTTGTTTTCCAGTTCACCCCACACTTTTAAGTTGAATACAACATAAAAAGGCTATACTGCATTTGATCAAGAACACTACAGTTGTATGAATGACATTTTTAGTGACATCTGTCAGTGAGACTGTATACTTTATACAGTATACTGTAGACTGTAGACTGTTTACTATCGGGCATTGAGGTATAACCAGCTTGCTAGAGCCATCATTTGGTAGGTGGGTGGCTAAGTGCCATGTTATTTTCCTGTTAACCCAACAGTCAGAAAACAATTCTCATTCACTTACGTGAGAGGTCTGTGTTTTTTCAGAGTGTCAATCCATATCTGCAAGGCAAGAGGCTGGACAATGTTGTGGCAAAGAAATCTGTCCCCCACTTTTCAGAAGAGGAGAAGGAGCCGGAATAAAGAGAAGTCAGTAGGTGGAAACCCAAGCGATGCTCATGTGCATGTCATAGAGCCCCATGAGTGGCAGCATGTGTCTTACATGGATATTTACGGATGAAAAGCAGCTGTCCCTGCATTCGCTTCCACACCGATGCCTGTGCTTTCTGCTAAACTAGAATGAAAGCTCCTTTTCTTTTGGGGAAGTTTTTGATGTGCATCTGCAAGAACCATTACAATTAAAATGTATATGTCAAGTATAATAAAAACACGGATATGAAATGCTCAGATTTCTTGCAGTTTTGGATTGTGCTGTTTGGGCCAAGTCTGTAAAAAAGCTAGCATTTGATTTTGATTATGTAGTGTGCCTAGCCCTTGGGCCTTGTTATACCAATAAAGAAGTTTGTACTCCGGGGGAGGGGCCGACACATCTCACTCCACTGCTTCTTAATAAATGTATGTGCAAACACTGGCTTGTGAAGTCTTTCTTTTTAAATAACAGTATAAAAATCAGTCCTTCCGCTTAATAGAGCAAAGTGACATGCAGAACTATCTAATTTTAGTACTAATGCTATGAAGTCAGCGGGGAAGGTGTGATCCCCATTTCACATATGATACAAGTGGGAATATTCAACACATGATGGGGATAATCAGCAAAACTCAGAATGGAAGGATTTTTATTTTCAAGACAGTGTTTCTCTGTGATAGAAGGATTTTCAGGGCAAGCTCCCCACCTCCCCCAAGCCCAGGGCTTATGTGTGAGAAATGCTACAAATTAGAAAAAAAAAAAAAAAACCCACCAAAACCAAAAAACAAACAAACAAACAAAAACTTATGAGAAATATGAACCAAATGAAATGTGTGTAGGTTTTTCTTTGTTTGAAAAATACTATCTATCAGACAATGGGGGAAGTGTGACTAATAGCTGAATATTTGGGGCGATTTAGTTGTTGCAAAGTTTTATGGCAATCTTTTAAAGAGTTCTTGTGTCTTAGAGATGCCGGTTGAAATTTGTGCAGATGGTATGCAGATTTGTTTTAAAATAATCCATTAATAGTGATAAGGAAGGATAGGGAAGGAACTTGGGGTTTTGATGAATTGAATTAGCTATATTGATGGCTGTTGAAGCTGGGTCCCATGTGCATGAGGATTTTCTGTGCTTTTATCTCTCTGCTTGAATATGCCTTAGAATTTTCCACACTAGCAACGCAGGTGAGGCCCCATAGTAAGGCCAGATTATGGTAAACACTGGCCTGGAAATATAGCAAATAAGGTAGAAATCTTTATGGCTATGGATATGAAGAATTAATGTAGACCATTTCTCTTGGCCACTGTGGAAGGATGTGCCACAGGGTTCCGTGGGGGAGAAAATATGTTTTGGAATGGGGTAAATTAGATGGAGAGGAGAGGTCAGACTGGCTGAGAGGAAAAGAGATTTTCATAGAAGAGAAAGGAAACTTAGAGGGGTCTTACATTAAGACTAATAGACTTGAAAGGAATGTGCTTTTCCATGTGAGGCCTGGGTGAGAGAGAGAGAGAAAGAGAGAGAGAGAACATATCTACAGCAGAGGCACTTGTTTTCCTTGGCTGAGACAAGTCATTACCACCATTCTATCCTCGATCTTTTCAGAGTGCCACAGCCACGGATCTTTGAAATCGGCAAGGTGGTTGTAGTTGCCCCAGGGACATTTGTGAAACAAAAGATGAAGATGTTTGGCACATTAGGCAGAAGTAAAGCATATGGTACCGGCACTGTCCGCATTGCCCTGCTTGAACTTTGGCTATGGATATAAGCCCACCCAAGGCCCCTGGATGTAATTACACAGCATGAGAGCTCACGAAGCTCCAGCCCTGGAAGAGGATACAATGGGACCATTCTAAAAGAGAATTTCCTCTGCCCTTGCTGTTGGGGTGGGGGAAGGGAGTAGAGACCTGTTCAATATTTTCTGTTATATGGATGGCCGCTGAAACTATTAACTCCCACCACACGAGTCACTAGGCTGAGGCTTCAAGGAATGACTCTTCAAAATATTTTTGCCACTATGATACAGAATATTCCAGAATACCTAGGGATTCCTGAAAGGATCAGTTCTGAGCTTGAAGTATTCCTACAGGGAATTACGGTTCGATTAGAGCTGTGCAGCTATCTGGAGGTGATAGGATCTTGGGAAACTGGAGCAATCTACCATCCCACCATGGCTGCTACACAAGTGGGGCATGGCCAACCAGCCAGCCACACCTCCTGACCGCCTGGAGCGAGAATCCTATTCCTTCAGTAAGCCTGCAAGGCAACAAAACCAGGCTTTCTCCTCTGCTCGTCTTTGAAAACTTTGGGAGATACAAGGCTTTATTGGTAAGTGCTTCTGAGCTCAGCTAGCACTAGCTTAGGACCTGAGGAACAGGTATCTCCAGGCATTTGCTATAGAACACACAGCAGCCACTACGGCGCCTGGAGCACACCGGGACTAGGAAGCCAGAAAAGACGAGGATAGGCATGCGCTTGAGGCAGGTGGGGGACAGTCATCAACAAATTCTAACGAGATTGCTGGCTCTGGGAACACAGTCCTCCCAGGAGAAAGGTAAGTGGGTGGGGACAGAGATAAATGTGGTGTGGTGAATCATTATCCCCATTACTTGCATGGCTGGGAGGCTGGTGAGATTGTTCAGAGGTGTAAGGGAGGACAGTAGAGGACACAGGTTGATAAACATTGTTTCTGAGGCTCTTCATACAGCAGGTTCACTGTACATTTGGGGGGGACTCTAATTTGGTGAGGAAAGCAGCTATGACTACTTAGACAAGACTTACTTACATTCTCAGGAAGGAAATTCTAAGTTATTTGCCACTAAGCCAATTGTGTGCTTGAAAAAGTATTAATGATATATATATATATCCTTATATAAATATATCATGGCTATATTTCAATCATTGAGTGTTCATGTGGATTGCATAAGGATGACGAACTACTACTCTATCCAATGGGTCGTCTTTCCTCCCCCTGACTCCTGGCAGCAGCATGGAGAAGGGGTGGCTAACAGGGATGCTATTCTTAGGTGTCAGAAGGTCAATTTTGTTGTGTTGTTTTACTTTTGTAATAATGATGTGATTATAAGACTCTAGACATACAGCCTTCCCCCTACTTCTAAATGAAATGTATGCTCTGATGGGAGTTACCATGACCCCCTGACCGATCTTATCCCAGCTCAGTACCATAGCCCCATCATCTTGTCATTCCGACTGATCAGTAAAGAATCCCCAAACATGGATTTCAGTTACCGGAAGCAGTCGGTCGGGCACCAGGCATGCATGACTGCAACCGTTTACACATACACATAAAATAAAATTAATCTTATAAAATAAAAGGCTCCTTATCCGCTGCAGACGTAGCTCAGGACAGCAGAATCTTAGCATATATTTATATAATCGAAGAGAGCCTATGACTATGCGGCGCAGTGTTTTGTTTCTGTCCCATAAGGCAACATGCTGCTCCAAACACTGAACATGCCGCCTTTAGGAAAGGCCGTCACTGAGCACTCAGTTTGCTACAACGAGAATGACGGCTCTGTAAGGTGATGTGATTCACCCAAGTGGTTCATGAATCAAGACTGTGCCATAAGGTACATGCTCTGATTTTTGTTCCCAGGCACTCACAGTGTAAAGGAGATCAGATGTAGAAATCATGAAGGAAAAAAAAAATATCTGTGAAGTATGAGAAAGACTCAGAGGTTTTCTTGTTTAGTTTGCCGTTGTTGCTCGCATCTGTAATCCCAGCACTCTGGAGGATGAGGCAGGAGGTTTCAAGTCATTGATGATATGGCCTCAAGGAAACTCCCCTTCCTCTCTCTTTTGCTTTTTGGCCACCCTCTGCCACACACTCCCATCATGCTCTGCTGCTAAAAACAAGGCAATGGGCATAACCAGTCATCGGGAAAGGATCTAAACACCGAATCTTTTCTCTCTGTAACTTCATTCTTCAAATGTTCGTTACAAAGACAAAAAGATGATCTTCAAAGCCAGGAGACACATGGATGGTTGAGTATTTCAGCCAAGGAAATGCATGTGCAAAACTGTAAGAAGGACAAAGGTCTGTGTCTTAAGCCAATAGGATAGAGAGGTTGGGAATGGGGGAAAACTCTGGTCTATGAGAAGCAGGACAGGAATTTCTTGAGGTCAGTTGTCTTAGAAATCATTTTCTTACTTCAGATCAGTGTTCCAGACATTTTTGCCTTTTCTCTATGTCAGTATCATTTTCTGCAGAACAGTATGTTAAAACTGCTGCGTTTTCACTAGTGTCTTGAGTTTATTCTCATCTATTTCTAGCAGCCAGTACCTCACTGCTGTGCTGTACTTGCTTCCTTACTGTGTTTGCCTCATTCAAGGGTTATAACTCCTTGAGGCCATGGACTCTGACTTGTGTTTCTTTTGAGATCTTCCAGAGAGCCTTCCAAAAGCAATACCTGTGTGCCAAATGAATGAACGTTAAGGAATGTTTTGAAAAACGTATAAAAGGCTCATCATCTTTGCCTGTGTATAAAGAAGGATGAGCCCCATAGCTCAGAGGCTAAAGTGCTTGCACAGAAGCATAAAAACAAGAGTTTGGTTCCCAAACCCACACTTAAAAAACCAAGAATGGTGGCATGCTCTAATTCCAATACTGTAGAGGTGAATATAGGTGGGTCCCTGGGGCTTGTGGGTCAGCCAGCCTAGACTATTTGGTGAGCTCCAGGTCAGCAAGAGACTCTGTCTCAAAACCAAAACCACACCAAACAAACAAATGAAAACTGAGGTCTGGGTTGGAGAGATACCTCAGTCAGTAAGAAGCATTTGCTGGATAAGCCCAAGGACCTGGGCTCCGGTTCTCAGCTTCTATGTGAAAACAGATGTGGCGGGATGCTGTGACCCGAGCGCTGGGAACAACGCCTCTTGGATCCGTGGAGTTCACTGGCTAGCCAGTTTAGCCAATCAGTGGGACCGTAGAGCCTGCTTCAAAAATCAAGAAGGAAAGGGATAGAGGAAGACATCTGTCCACAACCTTTGGCCTCACACACACCAGAACATGTACACATGTATGCATCCAACACATGAACACGCATGCATCCACAAGAACACAAACACACACACAAAGGAGTAAGGGTGCTATGACATGGGTGGGTGATCTCTCAGGCTTTCCTGAGAGTGGCACAGCAGAAGCAAAGCCCCTTTTTCTAAAGTCACTGCCCTGTGATAACACTCCTAAGGTAGGGGTGCAGGAGTCCTTCTAAACATCCATTTGCAGCATTTCAAGGACAGCTGTGCATGAATGCATGGTGAGCATAGTAACAGTCCTGCTCTTCATGATAGCTGATCTGGAGCAAGCCGCAGCATTGGGTTCCACTATGGACTTTCATCGGTTGCTGCTCCTCTGACCATGAGCTACCCCGTAGCCAGGTGGGCAGCATGTAGGTCATGTGTCAGCCCTTAACTTGTATCGAGCA